CCCCCCCCCACAGCTCCAGCAGGCTGAAGGCTGAGTCTCCGGCTCCCCATTAGCCCCAGCCAGCCACCAGCTCTCCAGCCAGAGGCTTCAGCCAATCCAGGGCCTTTCCTCACAGCGGCTGCTTTCATTGGAGCAGACGCTGCCTCACAGGGTCATGTGACACCAGAAACATCCTCAGTGAAGAGACGAATGAAAGCAAACCAGCCAGAGGCCTCTAACAAGCCTCCCCCTAACGAGCCTTAAAAAGGACTGTTCTGGGTTCTGGAAGTTGTGGGATTCTGTTGTGCTGCTTCCTTCATGTCCTTAATGTTTAGTGAGCCTTAATTTGCCTCAAATGTCTCCAATAATGTGCCTGCTCAATAATGCAGGCCCCGGTGTCCTGCACCCTGGGGAGTCCCTGAACACGTCCTCCCTGGGCCGCACTCACCTCCTGGACGTTGGACTCCTTGGTCAGAATCTCCTTGGCCTGAAAAGGAAGAAAAACATTCGTTAAAATGGGATCAAACAGGAATGCTGAGGGCAGTAAAATGTATTTAAAATAGCAGTCTTGCTCCTTTAGCCGGTTCTATGCAAGAAAATGAATGAAATACTATCACATGAGGTGAGAAAAACCCACTAACTCCGCTCCTGACACTCCCAAAACAGAACAACATGCAAAAAGAAAGTGCAAACGACTGTCCAGCCACTAATATGCCATCTCTCCAGACCACTGGGAACCATTTAGGCCACAGCCAGACCTGGAAAGGGGTCTGAACAGGACTACACAAACCCACTCACAACCTGATTTAAGAACAAAACCAAAGCATTTATGGACAAACTGGACCTGACTGTCAAACCAGGTTAACCAGAAACAGGACTGGGTATAATAAGAGGATCCCAATGAGGCTGAGACCCTTAAAATGGATGGCCACAACAGAGGTAAGTCTAATAATGCTGTCCACAACTTGTGATTTAGTTTTTAAAAAAAAGAGTCTGCAGACTTCTCTGTGAGCAGCTGAACATCAGCCCCGGTGTGTCTGTGGCCCTCAGGCCCTCCGGCAGCTCTCTGCCTCACACACAGACCTAAATCTGTCCTCAAATCTCTGCCTGGGCTCAGGAACATGCAGGCCAAGCTCCTACATCCACACTCTGTGGTCCCCTCTGCTTTAAAACGGATCCAAGCCAAGGGGAAGCTGCTCTGCCTGGGACCAGATGTTGGTCTGACCCCTCCCGAAACACCTAAAGGAAGCAGCTGGTCTCCTCAGATCCAGAACTGGGTCAGACCCCGGCCCGGTGTCTGGATCTGTCCTATGGATCCCCGGTAAACTCAGACTATTTCAATCTGTATCCCCAGTGTGACCCTAAAGCTGCACTTATCTGTCATCGATAATGTCTCTGACAGGCTCTCTGTGGATAAACCACATCATGTAACACATCCACCACGTATGAACACACAAATGCTGCAAAGAAAAATAAGGAAAGTTAGATTTTAGAAATAAAATACCAATACTACACGCTTTTGCAGCAGTTTCCCAGCTTTTTATGTCATTTAGAAAATGTATAATGTGTAGATTTGATAACCATCAGTCCTTTACAGGGTTAATATTCTGTTTGCTCAATTAAGCAACCCTCAAAATTCAATCTGCTCCTTTAACTTAGCTGATAAACTCAGTATTTCCACATTAATCACCTCCCTCTGGACGGTTCAGGTGGGATTATTCCACACTATAAAAATGTTTCTTTCGTTTATTCAAAGCCACAAACGGAATAAACACGCGCTACTTGGCTTTGATGCTCATTACAACGATATTAAAATGCCACCAAACTGGTTGTTTCAGAGATGGTGCAACCAACCCGCGGTGCCGTCTAACGACTGGGAGGCTTAAAGCGGCTGATCAATAAAGAGAGGGCGCGGTGCAAATCCCGGCACGTACACACATTAACCCCCGGCGGATCGCGACATGGAAGTAAAATTATATAAGATTGAACCTTAGGTCACACACAAACAAACCAGAGAGAAAAAAATGTATCGGGTTAAAAAATGGATGGCAGCAATGGCTCCGTCTATTTGCTGGTAATAGACGGTGCGAATTTTCGGCCTGTCTCTTCAGAGGCGACAGTTACTTCCATAAACTCGTCAAAATAGACAGAATACAGGCTAATTCTGAAGAATATATTACGAATCCCGTGTATATTGACATGATAATGGAAATAGACATCGGAACCAAGGGGATGAGTAGAAAAACGGGACGACTAAAATCTATCCGTGTCGTTTCATCGTTCCAGAAATTAGCCGGAGCCGCTGTGACAATCCAGGCCGCAAAGAAAGCGAGGTCGACGGGACTTCAGAGGAAAAAAAACACGTACCTTCTCACACAGCGTCCTAACTTGGTTTTCCGTTAGCTGCTTGCACTCGTTCAGCTGTTCGATCCATTGGTCTAACTCTTTAGTAAAAGATTTGTCTTCCATGACAGCAACGGTAGCTTGCCGAGCTAACTGTGTTAGCTACCTACAAAACAAACTGGCCTGTGCTAACAGTGCTAACTGCCTTAGCCTTTAGCTCGTCGTATTGTTAAACCCGATCTAGTCCCGCCAAACCGGTTGAAAAATCAGCGATAAGACCTAAAACTGACGGGCCGTTCAATTAACTTATATCATGATAGTTTACTGGTATTAATTTTCCAAAGTTAGAAACCAGTTAATTTGAGCCGGGGGAGTCAAAATGGTCGAAAGTCCCCGATGCGGCAGAAGGCAGCAGCGTCGCAGCAGCTAGCCGAAATGCTAAGAGAGCTAGCCTCAACAACATCCGGGCATCTCGGCAACGCGCAGACGCGGCGCAGCAGCCCCTCCTGCCGGTCGTGCCGCGAACTGCAAGGAGCGCGTGCCCGGACACGAGCTGAATCTGAGTCATAAAGCTGGTTTTTAAAACAAAGTCACCCTGAAGAAACCGGAAGGAAATATGGATAAAGATAAATAAATACACGACGTGTTAAGAAGCAGGTCGTTATCGATGACAGTGAATCAGCATTATATAATTATGAATAATCATTTTTACCTCTGATAGACCCAGTTGGAAATGTGCAGCATAATTACGTAGTTTTTCCTCCCTCTGACCCCTTTGGATGCACTGGCCTCATTACACGGCTTCAGGCCTCCATCTTTATCAGAAACATGACAAAGATTTAACTCTAACACACACAGAACAGAACACGGTGGGCAGAGGGCCGCTTTTATTTCTGCATTAGTTCTCTGTTCTTGTGCTTTTGTTGGTGTCCGGGAAGTATTTTGATATTCTGGAAATGGGAAACAGACTAAAGTTCTCCCTCTTTAATCCTTTAATCACTGTTGACCTCATTTTCCTGCATCATTCTGAGCACGACTGAAACTTCAGACCATTTAATGAGACTCTTAGAGGAAAGACTCCCAAGGGGGGGGGGGTTTCTAGTTCCTGGACCCAGACTGGTTCCTCAGATTAGGGGGGGTCTGTTTCCTTAAGGCTCTGCTTCCCAATCTACTTTAGAAACTCATATCCAAACTGGAGCTCTTCAATGGTTGTCAAATACAGTTGACACTGAGGGAAAAAAACTCAATTTTTGACTTAGAATTGAACAAACATAACCCAGCACAGCAGCATCCATGAAGCCAAACACATCAGTGCTAACAGATTGGGCAGACAGAGAAATGGATGGTTTTCACTCCCATCCAGGAGGCGGCGCTGTGGCTCTCACGCTCCGTTAGCTTAGCCGCACTAGCATCAGCGAACAAGGTGTAAACACACATATGGCAGCGCGTTGAACGTGCAGTGGATGGAGTGGAATAACACCAATATCCTAACATTGTATTGTGTGATATAACGTCTGAAATCAAACTGGATCTGCCTCCGGATCGGCCCCGACCGAAGCCATGGCTCATTTAACGCAAAACCCCGCAGATAAGGAGAGGTGGGTTTAGCTAGGCTAATGCTAATGTGCCAGTCCACAGTTCCTCATTGCGAAGAATTTTTATTTAAGGGGGAAAAGGACATATTGTCATCCAGCTTCTTTAACTATTGTTTTCAATGTGATAATATAGTTTGAAAAGAACTGACCCGTTGTTCGGCATAAATTTAGTGAGTGAACTTGGGCTGAAATGTATAAAAAAACCTACTTTTTTTGTTGAAACGATGAAGTCCCAAAGCGACAGTTTAATAAGAAATATTTGTTACCGTCCCCCTAAAAATGTTTTAGTACAAGTAAGTAACAGATGTCTAATTTTTCTCAGTTTTCTAAATCAGACAGAAAAACGTGGAGTAGTTTTAGATGGCTTTTGGACTGTGGTTCTCGCCGTACTTGCTGCCTCTTAAGAATGACGTGTAAGAGTTTTAGCTTTTTATTCACTGAGCCTCTGTTTTACTCCGTTTAATTCTATGAGATGTTTTACGGCCACTTCTCTGTCATGAAAACAAGTTTACTGCTTCAGTCTGCTGGCACATTTAGTTTGAACTCACTCAGAAAAAGCTGCTTTTTGTCCACTTTTTAACGTTTTATTGTTGGTTTTCAGGGTAAACCTTTACCTGATCTTTAAAACGTCTACATACAACAGGTGATAGAAGCAGATGGAGGAGACAATACTGTGGGGCGCCTTTGTCAGAATCACAGTGCAGAGTTACAGTCACTATTTACACTTCAGACTACACACAGAACAATGACAAGATGTAATATAACCGCAATAAGAAAAAAATCAATCTGAGAAAAGCACAAAATAACCACTAAAAATAAGGGGAAGCTACACTGCAGAGGGCCCAAAGCCAGGCTTAATGCAGGAAAGTTCACTGAGACTTTACAGCAACATGTGCTGCCTTCAAGGACACGTCTTTTTCAGGAAAGACCACACTCTGCTCACAGTCCAGAGGCTGAGGAAGTTTAAATTTAAAATGGGTGACGTGGACAAAAGTCGGAGTACGAATGTTTCTTCCTGAAAGCGTCTCCTCTGAGCGCTCAGTCTGAGGACGTGTGTTGTGTTCAGGTTCATCTGCCTCTATCCCGTCTACATCAACAGCAAGAAGACGCTGGCTGAGGGACGCCGCATCCCCTCAGAGAAGGTGAGGCCTCCTGCTCCAGCGGTTTGGGCCGTCTGGACTCAGCCGGCCTGATGTTTCTGTCCCTGAACGTGTGTGCAGGCGGTGGAGAACCCGTCCTGCGCCGAGATCAGAGACGTCCTGACGGCGGCCGGCGTCAACGTCTATGTGGAGGTGGGAGCGCCAGCCGGGCCAGGCGGCAGATGATGTCATCTGTGTGTCCGGGATGATGTCATCTGTGTGTCCGGGATGATGTCATCTGTGTGTCAGGGATGATGTCGTCTGTGTGTCCATAACACAATGTCATCCGCGTGTCCGTGATGATGTCATCTGTGTGTCCGTGATGTAATCTGTGTGTCCGTGATGATGTCATCTGTGTGTCCGTGATGATGTCATCTGTGTGTCGTGATGATGTCATCTGTGTGTCCGGGATGATGTCATCTGTGTGTCCGGGATGATGTCATCTGTGTGTCAGGGATGATGTCATCTTTGTGTCCGGGATGATGTCATCTGTGTGTCCGGGATGATGTCATCTGTGTGTCAGGGATGATGTCATCTTTGTGTCTGGGATGATGTCGTCTCTGTGTCCGCGATGATGTCATCTGTGTGTCTGTGATGATGTCATCTGTGTGTCCGGGATGATGTCATCTCTGTGTCCGCGATGATGTCATCTGTGTGTCCCTGATGATGTCGTCTGTGTGTCCGTGATGATGTCGTCTGTGTGTCCGTGATGATGTCATCTGTGTGTCGTGATGATGTCATCTGTGTGTCCGTGATGATGTCATCTGTGTGTCCATAACATGATGTCGTCTGTATGTCCATAACATGATGTCGTCTGTGTGTCCGTGATGATGTCGTCTTTGTGTCGTGATGATGTCGTCTGTGTGTCCGTGATGATGTCGTCTGTGTGTCGTGATGATGTCATCTGTGTGTCCGTGATGATGTCGTCTGTGTGTCCATAACATGATGTCGTCTGTGTGTCCATAACATGATGTCGTCTGTGTGTCCGTGATGATGTCATCTGTGTGTCCATAACATGATGTCATCTGCGTGTCCATAACATGATGTCATCTGTGTGTCCGTGATGATGTCATCTGTGTGTCCGTGATGATGTAATCTCTGTGTCCGCGATGATGTCATCTGTGTGTCCGGGATGATGTCATCTCTGTGTCCGCGATGATGTCATCTGTGTGTCCCTGATGATGTCGTCTGTGTGTCCGTGATGATGTCATCTGCGTGTCCGTGATGATGTCGTCTGCGTGTCCGTGATGATGTCGTCTGTGTGTCGTGATGATGTCGTCTGTGTGTCGTGATGATGTCGTCTGTGTGTCGTGATGATGTCGTCTGTGTGTTTCAGAACAAGATGCACCCCAGGGAGTGGAACCGGGACGCCCAGTTCAAAGGTCGGGTCAGAGTTCAGATGAAGCAGGAGGACGGCAGCCTGTGTCAGGACAAGTTCAGCTGCCGTGAGTCCCCCAGCCCCAGGCCTCCCCCGACTCACCCCAGACTCACCCCAACCTGACCCACACTCACCTCAACCTGACCCAGACTCACCCCAACCTGACCCAGTCCTCCCCCGACTCACCCAGGCCTCCCCCAACTCACCCCGACCTGACCCAGACTCACCCCAACTCACCCCAGACTCACCCCAATCTGACCCACACTCACCCCGACTCACCCAGACTCCCCCCAACCTGACTCAGACCCACCCGGACTTAGTCGGTCCAGGCGGGCTCTGATTGGCTGAAACGCGTTTCCCCCTCTCAGGTAAGGATGTGATGATGTACGTGGCTGAGATGATCCCCAAACTAAAGACTCGCACCCAGAAGAGCGCCGGCGGCGACCCCAGCTCGCAGCAGGGGGAGGGGGGCAAGAAGAGCAAGAAGAAGAAGAAATAGACCCCCGAAGGCCACCGGCTCCTTTTAGTTTTATTTAATTCCCGATTTAGGTGGATATTGAGCGGAGTGAGAGCCCCAACTGGAGCCTTCCTCCTTAAAGGGCTCAGCACCCCGTCAGTAAAACACTTCCTGTCTTTACTAGACCCGTTTTCATCACAGAAGGCCTGAGTTTGGGAACTGGAACGTTTCTTTTCAAACCTTTTTGAGAGTTTCTGTGTTTCTTTAGATGAATAAACGCCTCCTTTTCTCACCGAGTTGTTTTAAATCCTTCCATCGCTCTCAGGAAGAAGCAGCCGGGGCATTTACTGGCTCCTCTAACAGAGGAAACTCAGCAGCTGACGCTCTCTCTGTTAAAGTCGGCTGAAGTAGGATCTTCAAAGGTCACATGACGCATATTCATAGAAGATGTGCATGAAACAAAGACGCTGGTTGGTTCTCCAACTCAGAAAGGGAAACTTCTAATCTAGATTGTTAATATCTAATAAATCACATTTTTTACCCTTTTTTATGAAAACTTTTAACTTTTACCAAGTAACAAGACTCTGAGTAAAACTCCATCTGCTTAATGTTGTTATTAAACTAGTTTATTCCAACAAACGGCCTCAGATGAGCTGACTCAGCTTTTGTTTCAGCCAGAATCTGTGAGGAGCTTCTTTCATATGAAAACAAGCAACACAAATGATTTGCAGAGCCTCTTTATTAGTAAGAGCAGTGAGTGGGGTCACCGTTTAGGGCAGACGCCCATCAGGGCTCACTGAGTCTGACCTCCTCACACAGACTTACTCCTTTAATCCGACTCCTTTCTCTTTATTTGTGTCATCCACAGATATATTGTATTTTGACAAGATTTTGTCAAATTTACCCTGAGGCTTTTCCTTTTTAATGCTTTCTTTCCAATTTCTGAACATATTGAATTCCATTTTGATGAGTTTGGTGAGATCGTCCATTAACTCTTCCTCGGGTACAGGTTTAGAGTTAGTGAGTTTGCTGGAATCTGCAGGGGTTGCTGATCCGCTGAATCCTCGTCTGCTCGGGTCAATCCAGCTTTTTCCTCTCGCCATTGGATGATCACAATACAAAGAGTTCAGTCCGTTGTTTCTGACGTTGTCATTTAGGCTCTCAGACATGTCCAGAGCCATGAGAATTAGAGGAAATGTCCGGAAGTTTCTGGCTGATTCGGCTATGACGGATGCGGTGAAGTATGTGGTGCACCAGGCCTCCATGGACACCGAGGGGAACGTGGTCACTTCGCCCTGGAAAATGTTCCTGGCATACTTGGCATAAATTTCTCTGCCATTATTTTCTGAAAAAATGTTGCTTTTGATGTCAGGATATTTTTCTTTTCCTTTCTGAGCCTTGATACTCTGCTTAACCTCAGCTTTTTTGGCTTCATCTTCTTTCTGATTGTTGTCTAAATGTTTTCCTACTGGATACATGTACAGATTTATGGGATGAACAAAAAATATCCAGTTATTGACCATCAGGTATGTGGGAACATCTTCTCCATCCTTTGCATAATGACGAATTATATTCCTGATGTCTTCTCCTGATTCGATCTTATAACAGAGGTCAATAATGTTTTTTAGTGTAGCCTCATCCTCTATCCAGTTTTCTTTTACCTCTATTCTATCTTTATCGTATGTGTGATCTATTATGACATAGGTTTCCTTTGTGGTACTTTCTGGTTCTTCCTTTAGAGGTTGATTGGGCTGTGAGTGAAACAGTAGCCAAGAGAAATCTTCTAATTCCTGAAAGGCCTGTTTCATTTCCTCTATGGCAGCAAACTTATTTTGGTCCAATTTATTATAAACCTCCGGATCTATAAAACCTTTTTTTCCGGTTGGCCATGACTGTCTGTACTTCTGAAAACGGTTATTGTCCCCTATTGGCCCTGGTGGATCCGCTTTAGCCTTTTTTGGGGGGGCGGGCTGTTTTTTTTTTTTGGGGGGGTGGAGGGCGTTGGCGTCGGTGGTGGGGACGGGCTCTCCTCGGCCCCCCCCCTCCTGCCTCCTGCTCAGCCGCCCCCTCCGGTCTATGGCTGCCACCACCTTCTTGCTGGAGTCTCGGTGTCTCCACTGGGAGGCGTCTTTGGTGAGGATCTGCCCTCGGTCGGTGACCTGGACGGCAGCGCTCCACAGGTGCAGCTCCGTCTGGACGCCGGCTCGCTGCAGCTCCCTCAGCAGGCTCTCTATGAAGGCCGGGTCCGAGCCCAGCCGGCAGCCCAGCAGCCTGGTGCTCTGGATGCTGGCGCTGAGCCTGGAGGCGCTCTGGATGATGCGGGCCAGCTCCTGGGACGTGTAGCCGGACAGCCTCATGTCTCCTGAGGCGTCTCTGGCCCCGTGGCCCACCAGAACCAGGCTGCTGCTGCTGCCGGACAAAGGCCCCCGCTGCCCCCGGACCAGTGTGGCTGTCTGGTTCTGGTCCAGGGCGAAGAGCGAGCTGCCGGCCGGGTGCTGCTGGAACAGGGCGGAGGCAGCTCTCCGGACCACGGCGTCCTCCTGCAGCATGAGGATCTGCTGCCACTCCAGGGGGGGGCGGGGATCCGCCGCTTCCTGCGGGGTCTGGGTCTGGTTCTGCTCCTGGAAAGGAAGCACAGAATGATCAACCAGGAGAGGACCCGGGTCCTCCAGAGGACTGACCAGATTCTGTGGACCCCCGGTCCCCCTGCTGCCTACAGGGCCTCCCAGGTCCACATATTTCCCCCTAATTCTAATCCCAAGTTCACCAACCTGCTCCGTTTTTGAAAGACATGTCGGGAAGTTTCCCCACCGACCGCGAAGGCTCCGACCAGCGTCCGGCCTGAAGGGAGATGGACAGTCATGGGGTTTCTCCTCCT